ACAATAACGTCCCAGCTTATTAAAATTCTGTGAATCGCGCGAAATCATCATTCTCTGAAGAAGACCGCAGAAGGCGGTCGAAAATTTAGAGACAATTTTGCTTTTTAGATCTGTTTTAAACGTTTTTTAAAGATTTATGTGAAGTTGTGAAGTAATTAGGTTAACAAATATATATATATTGTTAAGTAAGTAGATATTTATTACATGTTGTAAACTGTTTGTAAATTAAAATAATAATAATAATAATAATAATATTAAAAAAAAAACAATTTCTGTCGATCTCAACTGAAGCGAAAGAAAGGCGATTGCTGGTCATCGCTATATTAACCACATACGGGTAAATACACCTTTGAAATTCTCCAGTCCTATTCTAAGCTTCACACAGGTCAGAAAAAATATATTTATATATATATCCAGTGTATTGAAGTATCACTTCGATTTCAATTCCAGCTGTTAAAGATACCGCCCAAAGAAGAAAATAAAATACCTCCCAGTTCAAAGATTCATGAGACTTATCCACTGGTTTCAGTTCGATTCGGTACGTGACATTTTACATGTGCTGACCGTCAAAAAGTTTGTGCTCCATTCGGCTGCCGAATTTCTTTGTGAATGAAAGTCTTCTGTATTTTGAAGAGGCAGAAATAATATGCTATTTTTCATCGGTAAAAATTCGTCTTCGAGCCCCAATAGAGCAGCTAGTTTTTAGCCGCTACTCAAAGATATATTTTGGAACCCATAAAGTTTATCACAGCAACAATCAAAACACTCTGCCACCTTTCCCTCCCAACAGATTTTTTTACCACCCAGGTTCTGGGTGGTCACGTGACCAGCCGCAACCAGGGTCTTTCTCCCAGCTACAAAGGGAGGCAGAGGAGAGAGAGCCTGAGAACGAGGTTACATTCTATAAAGTGTGCTGCTCACGAAGAGCGAGCAGACGATAAGCAAGTTGTCGCAATTCTCATCCCCAGTTTTCACGCTCTACGCTAGGAACGCCGGGGATTGGCGACCAAGACAAAACGGCTTGAATTTTTAGACTCGGACTTCCCTACGGAAGCCCGATCGAGTAAAAAGATTGATCCATCAAAGAAATGCTGGGCTTTCTTGAATTGTTTTTTTATGAAAATTAAAATCATTTTCACAATAAATAGACTCTGACCGGATACCGTTTCACACATGACAAACTTAAGGTTCTGCAAATAGCTTCTTTGATATTATGAAATTTTCATTTTTGTTTTGTTCTATTTTGTTTGTTTGTTTCTTGTTGGTATGTTTTGCTAATTGGGGTCATCTCCCTCTGCGAACATGATTTCACAAAACTGAAGAAGGAAGTAAAGTTCAACAGCGTTGATTTAAAAGTGTTGTTGTTGTTGTTTTATTTGTTTTGGTTTTTTTTCGGTAAATCTACTATTTACAGGAAATTATCGTCACTTGTTATGGTCCAAGTAAACTTTATCCCTAATGCGACTCTCTTAGATTAATTAACAATTATTCACCGAAGTGGAGGTAAATATCCACCACTTTCCCCGACACTGAGGTGAATGATTGTTTTAGTATATACCACACAAGCTGAATAACTAGCGGACCAAAGGGTAACTTTATTACGGGCCGTAATAAAGTTACCCTTTGGTCCGCTAGTTATTCAGCTTGTGTGGTATATACTAAAACAATCATTCACCTCAGTGTCGGGGAAAGTGGTGGATATTTACCTCCACTTCGGTGAATAATTGTTAATTAATCTAAGAGAGTCGCATTAGGGATAAAGTTTACTTGGACCATAACAAGTGACGATAATTTCCTGTAAATAGTAGATTTACCGAAAAAAAACCAAAACAAATAAAACAACAACAACAACACTTTTAAATCAACGCTGTTGAACTTTACTTCCTTCTTCAGTTTTGTGAAATCATGTTCGCAGAGGGAGATGACCCCAATTAGCAAAACATACCAACAAGAAACAAACAAACAAAATAGAACAAAACAAAAATGAAAATTTCATAATATCAAAGAAGCTATTTGCAGAACCTTAAGTTTGTCATGTGTGAAACGGTATCCGGTCAGAGTCTATTTATTGTGAAAATGATTTTAATTTTCATAAAAAAACAATTCAAGAAAGCCCAGCATTTCTTTGATGGATCAATCTTTTTACTCGATCGGGCTTCCGTAGGGAAGTCCGAGTCTAAAAATTCAAGCCGTTTTGTCTTGGTCGCCAATCCCCGGCGTTCCTAGCGTAGAGCGTGAAAACTGGGGATGAGAATTGCGACAACTTGCTTATCGTCTGCTCGCTCTTCGTGAGCAGCACACTTTATAGAATGTAACCTCGTTCTCAGGCTCTCTCTCCTCTGCCTCCCTTTGTAGCTGGGAGAAAGACCCTGGTTGCGGCTGGTCACGTGACCACCCAGAACCTGGGTGGTAAAAAAATCTGTTGGGAGGGAAAGGTGGCAGAGTGTTTTGATTGTTGCTGTGATAAACTTTATGGGTTCCAAAATATATCTTTGAGTAGCGGCTAAAAACTAGCTGCTCTATTGGGGCTCGAAGACGAATTTTTACCGATGAAAAATAGCATATTATTTCTGCCTCTTCAAAATACAGAAGACTTTCATTCACAAAGAAATTCGGCAGCCGAATGGAGCACAAACTTTTTGACGGTCAGCACATGTAAAATGTCACGTACCGAATCGAACTGAAACCAGTGGATAAGTCTCATGAATCTTTGAACTGGGAGGTATTTTATTTTCTTCTTTGGGCGGTATCTTTAACAGCTGGAATTGAAATCGAAGTGATACTTCAATACACTGGATATATATATAAATATATTTTTTCTGACCTGTGTGAAGCTTAGAATAGGACTGGAGAATTTCAAAGGTGTATTTACCCGTATGTGGTTAATATAGCGATGACCAGCAATCGCCTTTCTTTCGCTTCAGTTGAGATCGACAGAAATTGTTTTTTTTTTAATATTATTATTATTATTATTATTATTTTAATTTACAAACAGTTTACA